AACAGTGTTGGCTCACAGCGGAGTGGCAACGGCATGTCCAGTGGTGCAGTGGCTTTTGTGAACCATGCACTGAAGTTTTTTGCCTGGGCTGTGACTCTTTCCAGCTCTCCAGCTTTTTCTGTCTTTGCTGTTCATATGGAATTTAAGATTTGCATCCCCTCCCATGGCTACATGAACTTGTTTCTTGCATAATGAGCATTCTTGAAAGTCGGGATCTAGCACTGCAAGCATTAGAGAGGTGTTTTGGAGGTGTTGGCTCAATGTTTTGTCAATGTTCGATGGTACAGAGAAGGCATCGGTGATATCCCTTGCCTTTTGACATTACAGTGATTGGCCTTCCATATTTGGAAGGTCACATGTGTGTGTGTGTGGGGGGGGGGGGTAGCAGCCCAAAATTTGGGAAGAAACGTAACTGGCATACCTTTCATCTACACATTTCCGACACCCCCTTGGCTAGCCCCTCAGCAACTTTGAGGAGTTAGCAGCTGGGGAGAGTACCCCAGCTGGGGTCTGGATCCTGACAGCTCCCAGTGATCGAAGAAAGTGTCAAGCTCTGGCGCAAGCTAGTTGCTGTTCTACTGACGTCATACACCCCAGATTTGGCTTGACCACTTGAGAGTTTAGATAGGTTACTCACTCAGCTTGGATGTCATTCCGAGGCACTCCTTGTGAATGAAGAAAGCATGAAAATCTGGTGTGATTCAGTTGCCCTTCATCCGACATTATACATATCAGATTTGGCTCTGTCACTGGGCAATCTCAGTTGGTCATTCTACAACCTTGACCATCCATCTGAAGCTGTGCCATTCATCAAAGAATCCATTCCCCTTTGGTGTTCGCTATTTGCTGCTCATCCAAAATCATATGCCTGTAACCTCGCCTGGGCATTGCGAACTCTAGTGATTGTGTATTCATCCATAGGACATTATGCAGATGCACTTGCCATGGGTGAAGAGTCATTATCATACTATCACCAGCTTCATTCTGAATACCCTGATATCTATAAAAGTGATTTGTGGGACACACATTCCTGCATCGCTAAGGCACTGGAGGGTCTTGGGAGACATGAAGATGCAGCAGCCGCACAGACTCTCATAGGAAATTTATAACGATGTTGTGGGGACAACTCCGTGTACCGCAAAAAGTCGGATTCTGCGGAATTTGGCCACAAACACCCACTACATACCCGCTGACGCTCCCGATGCTCATTCTATCACTATCCAACACTCCATACACTCATTCTTTATTTTTCCTTATTTTCCCCATCATTCCCGACAACCCCAAGCAAAATTCCCACGCCCAACCACGCTGCCAATTTCACCCCCTCTCCACATCTCAAGAACCACTGCACCAATTGGGACGAATAAGGGCTCGTTGGAAAGCTGGAGACGAGGAGGTTGCTGACGGGAGGATAGGCGGGCGCTATGGCGAAGTGTTGCGGAGTTAACCTTCACAATTTCCATTTCGGACCCGTTATCACATATTCCCCATTCATTCATATTTCTTTTATTGTTTCTTTGTTCCCAATTGGATATTCATCATTTACGGTTGCCTAATGGCCCGTTTACATTCCCCCAGGCCATTCATTCCATTTCAAACATATATAAACTAGATAACAGCTTGTACATAACAAGTTAGTATTGAATAGACCCGTGAAGGGACAAGCAGAAGTTGCATCCAAGTGGCAAAGATGCCATCCACGACCCTAACGCCCCCTCTGAGCTAGTTGCTCATGTCTAAGACCCCTCACATCATAATACTCAGCCTTGACGTCCAAGAGAGACGTAGGTGAGTGTTTGTTTGAGGTTTTTGCAGACTCAGTAGCGCCCACGGACCAAGACCCAGCCTCACAAACCACACCCATGCACACTACCACCCTCCCCCTTCTCTCTGTCTCGAGTCTAGGCGATAGACCCGTTACAACGATGACAATCCACACACAACCTGCAGTATATCAAACCGTGTTGACATTATCCTCCAAGCCTTATCAGCCACAAACACAGGCATGAGTCAAAAACCGAAACCACTTTTTTCAACATGGTCTCACCTCACATATTGTTTTCATCCCTCTTCACCAGCCCAGAGACAACAATTGTCATCCTGATGTTTTAAGTAGAAGGGAGAACAGTGGTTGACAAGTCCCTATGATTCTGTTGTGAAAGCAACCATGAAAGATGAGGGAAGCCGAGTTATGTACCCCAGGTGGGCATAAACATGGGGTGGCCATTTTCTGGGACTTCCAAGATGTCGTTCCTTCTGATTCCCCTCTGTATATACTGAACACAATAGAGGATTTGTCACATCGAATGGTGAACAAAACGTATGTGCCTATTAATTTGGTGACAGCTCGAAATTCCATTTGCCTAACCTAGCCATCGGGTTGAACACTGTCCCCCCAGCATCATATCCGGTCATGATCATCAATGTTCAATGTGATTATAGCCATATAAGTACTGCCCCATGCTGCATAGTAGGTCAATGGACTGAGTCACGAAGCCATAAATAAGAGTCGTTGTGGTTGATTCCTGTGGCCTCAGGGGCAGGCATATAGTATGTATGTTGTGAGTGCCTTCGTTGACTCACTAGATGCATCCCATTGGCCACACCCATTGCCAGTGTGATTTGGCTGAGTGCCCGTATGCCTGAAAGAAGGAATTAGGAAGTTGTCATGAATTATGATGTGACATAATTGCTTTTCTGGCGAGTTTAGGAGTGACTGTAGTCGAGTGCTTATATCGATTGGGGCGTCTATCCCAAGAAGGGGATATGGACTATGCTTGCGTCAATCCGTTGTCTTATCACATCGTGTTAGGGAGGAGAGTGTTAGTGTGCCCATGCACTCCTAATCGAAACATTGAGTCTCCGATAGCGAGGGAGCCAATAGTACCAATGACCAGAGTGATACCAGCCATCCCGCTCATGATCCTGGCAGAGGTCAGCTTAGCCATGCAACAGGTGGCACACGCAAGTCCCTGGTTAGACTATGTCGCGATAAGGCGTAATCGTATGTATGGTATTAGCAAAGCTGTTTGTTGATGCGTTAATTGATGGATTAAAGTCTATCGACACCGGCAATTCTCACTGATCGGTACGGAAGTAATGGAAACCCATGTGGATCGGTGTGGCGCTCCGAGCGGGTGTTGGTAGAGTAATCCAGTTTGGATGGTGTGTCTCTAATATTACGAAGTGGCCGGAGGCCTGCCTAGATGAAGTGAAAGGAGGCCTAGAAGGTTGAGATGGCGCTCTGCTAGGCTGGTCATCTGCCTAGCGCTCTGTCTGCTTTCCAGGTTGGAGTATGAAGAGAAGATGGTAACCCACATAGTTTGTGGCTCATGGAAAGAGAGGAATTGGAGACTTGGAGTTACCCGACTGAATTGCAGTGATGTTGTGTCGGGCTTCCATTTGATCGATCCATGTGTTTGAAATTCACTTGACGGTCATTGCGCGCTAGACCCAATTATTCATGCTTCTCTTTATTAAAATTCTTGGGATCGTAGCGTATGCTGAGGCCAACTCCAACTCACGTTGAGTCTTGAGGTGCTCATGATCTACTCTTGTTCCTTTCTTGGGATACTCGCTGCCAAAGTCGGTGCGCATTCATAGCGCCTGGCTATAAAACATGAATTTTTGGACCTGACGACTTTTCCTCAGTTCACGGACTGAGGTGAGTCTAAGATTACTGCTAGTTCACGTACATCGCTAGTCTCCACATTTGTCTTATACTCTTCTTCATCGCATAGTGCCTGTTATAAATCCCATGCGCCAATATTGTGGGTCCTATCGCTTTCAGGGCTCCCCTCTTCTTCTTCCCTTCCTTCGTCCTCCTCACCCGTCCAGCTGCGAATTCCAAAAACCATCATGTCCCACATCGATGAGAAACCATACCCTCTGGACAAGGAGAAAGGTGCAGATGAAGTCTATGTGACCGGTAATCCTGTTGCAAGTAACAAGTATCGTATGTGGCTTTTTCTGCACAAGTCGGGCGAAACGTGCATTGACTGGTTGCTTCTTTGATAGACTTTGACGAGCATGATTTCAACGGCGCCTTGGGCAGCGTCGCGTACAGATGTGAGCATTCGTTCAATTGAACCTCTTATCGTCAACCACATCTCACCTTCCTGCCCTCGTGATGGTAGGATTGCCATCGCAGGTACAATCGGTACGGGTCTTTTCCTCGGTTCGGGAAAAGCCATCGACCCCTGGATGCTTCGCTTGCCTACCTATTCATTGGACCGATTTCGTATTCGACATTGTGCAGTCTCAGAGAGATGACTTGGTTTTCGCCTATTTCTGACGCTCGCTTGTGTTCGCACACGATATGCTGATTGCCCCTTGATATTCTTTGGCTGCGCGATGAGTGGATCCTGCTTTCGATTTTTGCTACTGGCTGGGTAAGTAATGACCGTGCTCACTTTTCAATCCGATTTCCCCTGCACGCGGGAGGGGTCATTTCGTCTGTTGTTTCTTCCTCCCCATCCAGCCGACATGATAACATTACTTACGCGCTCTCTCTTTTCATCGTCCCCCTTACATGGTACCGACTATCTCAATAGAACTACTTCTACGTGAGTATCACGACTTTAATACAAACGCGCCCCCCGACGCATTCGGAGATTATTATGCCAAGCCCATCACGTTCTACTGATTCCCATTACTCTCTTCCCCCCAAATGACTCGTAGACACAAGCCATCTCCGTTCCCGTCGAAGTCTCCGCCGCCTAAATCATTCTCATTTTCTGGGATCCGAACACAAAGCACTTCTCTGCCTACATAACCGTCATCTCCCTCTGTGTCATTCTTGTCAACCTACCTCTTCGGCGTGCGTTGGTTCGGCGACAGAGATATACGAGGCACAGTGGACTTCACGGATCTCCACGAGACAGATCCTCGATCCTCCGCCTCCAATGCCTGGAAAGCCATGAACAAAGTCGGCCCGCGTGGTCAGCGGTGAGTACACTGCTGTCCTCCTAAATGTAGTTTATTCACACGAGTAATTATAGGAAACGGATTCCATGGTCGTGGACGCAGGTGCTGCGTGGAACAGCAATCCAAGAAACAAATTGAGCCAACAAATCCCTAATCTCGAGCAACTTCAATTTTCATTACCTTCCTTAACGAAGGAACCAACACCGATCGAAGGCCAGCCTAGTCACCCCGCAACGATGAATAAACCAGAGGGCACAGAAAGCCAATTTTTTCTTTCTTCGAGAACGAACGGATCAAAACAGGTCGAAAAGGGCGAACCCGTTTCAACAGTAACCAATCAATCAAAGGGCAGAAAGAGTCAAACTTCACCCATTTTAACAGCGCCCAAAACCAAACAGACCGAAGAAGGTCAACTTCCTCTCATGTCAACCACAAGCAGTCTAAGGAGCGAAAAGAGTCATTTTTCTTCTGTTTCAGAAATGGGCCAAAAGGGGTGCCAAGAAAGTCAATTGTACCCCTTTCCAACGACAGGCGAACTAAATCGGATCAAAGTTGACCAACGTGCTCCCATTTCTGCAACGACGAATGAGCCGATGGACAAAGAGTATCATGTTTTCCCCATCTCAGCAACAAACGAACTGAAATGGGTCGAAGAGGATCAACATGCCCCAGTCTCAACGGGAATGAATGAACTAGAGCAGGCCAGAGAGAGTTTGAATTATCCTATCCCTGGAACAAGTTCTTCGAGGGGGACAGTGGGGAAGAGCGAAGATGCGTGCTTTACATGTCAAGTTCGCAGGAAGGTACGCTTCTTAGGAGCCTTATGTATACTGGTGCGTACGTTATCTACGCTACCCGATCACAGACATGTACGAGGCGCATTGGGGATTCCGGATATCCATGTGACGAATGCTCGGATGTTCGTCTCCAATGCTTGCAAAGTGATGGACAGAGTCGGCCCATATGGTTAGCGGTGCGTACTACTGTCCCTAACGAGAGCGCTCTTTTGACACCAGCGGTTATAGGAAAAGGATTCGAGGGAGCGAATGGTCACAGAGGCTATCGCTGCGTGGAACAGCAATCCAAGAAACAAATTCCCGCTACTCCGTAGCGGGCCCTGCAAATTTAGGCCCCACTCTGTGCACAGGGTCCTCTGTAACCTAGGGTCCTTTTTTCCCATTCTGACCATACCACAATAGAATTTCGGCTCACTCCGCTACAATGCAACTCAGGCCACAAAGACCATCCACCTCACACTGCATCACCACGTCCGACTTCTTACTATGGCTTCCTCTGATTTCGGTGAGTCTCTGTCTGTCCCTTCTGATCCGCTCTCTCAACCGTCCATGGACCATCTACCTCACGCTGCCTTTGCGAATCAACCGTGTCTGTACAGACTATGGCTTCCTCTAACTTGAGTGAGTCTGTGTACATCTCTTCTGATCCACTCTTTCAACCGTACATGCAGATTTGTGGATGTACTCCAGTTCTACCCGACTGCGTGATATTACACCAACAACGTGGTTCAGCCCATGTCTTAGTATGGGGATCGGTGCGTAATGACGTCTGACACACCGCAGCTATAGACGGTGACAGCTTCAAACAGAATTTTGAGACGAACAAAGCATGGTTGGGATTCATTGAGCATGAGGGGAGTGGGGTTCCCCATGTTCATGTGTGCCTCCAAGTGAGCCCCCGTCGCAATGAGTGTTCGATGACCTCCACCAATGACGGATAGCGCGCAACCCCAGTGATGCGCATTACGTTCCACTTCGCACACTTTCAGATCGGGACGCCTGTGTCCACGGTGTGTGTCCGAGCCAAGGATGTGGGCACTTGTCTCTGATCAACCTTCGAATCCAATAGATAGTTTTCTTTTGAGTCAAATGTACTTCAAAAGTATATACACATAGCTTCGCAGCGGGATTTCCGAAAAGCGAAATGTAAACAATGTGGAGATTGCTGAATGATCAAACCAACGCGGAATGAGTAGCGGGTACTTGCCGCGCCAGGCGGCGTCCACCAGTTATTAGGAGACCAGATCCTTAATCTTGAGCAACTTCAATATTCAGTACCCCCTCCACCGGCGTTTTCTGCCATTGTGGAAGAGTATCTTTCAGCTTCCCCGCATGCAGCATGCTTGCTGGAGGACTACACTCTCCCAAGAGTGGCTTCATTCCCTGGCCAACCTCGGTGTTGGAAGGGCAGTCAAGGCTTCATTTCTTACCCAAGCAATGGCGAAACTCTCGTCGATGGGGTAACGATTAGTTCTCAGAAACCCTTCGTGGGTGTTCCGCAGAAAATGGAAATGGGGAATTACCGATACACAGCATCACCCATCGCCATGGACGGTGAGCGAGTTCAATCAATACTTTCTTCCCAGTTGGGCACGGTGTGAAAATATTATTTTGTTACACAACAGCTATAATGACCAGTCGCGTCGAAGGGCCATTCATTGTGCCCCACTGTGGCCGCCAAGGCTTGTCACGAACGCTTGTCCGGCCGCCCCCATTCGATTTGCTGTTTTCGTACGGTGGTCCTGCTGGTCCCACGACTGTACAAGCCCTAAACTTTAACCCCACATACCCTTGCTATGCACAAGGTGCTTATGAGAGTGGACACAACGCGGGGTACCTTACAACTTACCCGACTATTGAGTCCATCTTGAGGCACCGAGACATCGTGAGGGTTTAACTCTCTCTGGACGCCGCGAGTCCACGCATCATTTCCTATCTGCAAATTATCAAAACCCCTAAGTCGGAATCCCGTTGTTGGAAATCATACGTTTTCGTTATGTATATGTCACCTTCCCTCGTTCATGGTCGATCATATTTGGCACTTGATCGTCACTGCCCACTGCTTGACTCATATGTAGCTCAATCTTATTTTTTTGATCTCGATCCTCGAAGGCACATACAGTAGGGTCGAGATTCCGATCAATCATTAATTAAAGGACTGCCAAACAGTCATATTTGCAGCGGACACTCTGTGAGTCTGACGGGAACGTAATGCATGCACCCGGGGGATCAAGGATTTATCTGCGCTCAGAAAATGATGCGTTTCCATGATGGGCGCGGCCCTTCTAGTTGGGCGTAGCTGTTGACATTGACCCAGGCTCTGGCTCGATTCCGATCGCTGATGCCAATACGGGCCCAAGCAAAGTAGGTATATGAACATACGGGAATGGAACTTGCAAGTTACATGAGCACCACATAAAATGCGCGTTTTCGTGTGAGCTGTTGTGATTTCCTACAACTGCAGGAAAGTAATAGGTGTATTAATATACCAAGAGCGCGATCTAATCTGGAGGCGCTTCCCCTATCGAGACACTCTAGTGACAAGCTCATCTAAGGGTAACAGTGACCAAAATCGGTGTTGAAGGTGGCAGTAGTGAAGTAGCGCAAGGGCATACCGATCCATTCGCTTAGCGGATGCCGATCTCGCGATGTGACGAGCAGCGCAGTCTGAATCCTGCTGGTGAGAAAGGAGTGGACTATTAGCTGTCTAAGAGGATACTAGCTAGCTTGTGGTATGAATATCATAGGCTTTCACCAGCGCGTAACGGAAAAAGTGCCCTGACGATGCGCGCTGCTACAGCATTTGTTGAGCACCGATCTGATTGACTATTAATTCCTTTATATAGATATACGGTTACTGGTGGAATTGTGGGAGAACTAGCGTAGGATTAGCGCTCAGTTCACGAGAGTAGAACTAGAATGATATTGGTGTACCTAGCGTAGGATTAGCGCTAAGTAGAATACACACCAGTCTTTAGTGAGAGGAGTAGCCGCGCAAGAAAGTAGACCTCACCTCAGTTCACGAGAGTAGAACTGAGGGAAACAAAAAAAGGTCGCATCCAGTGGCTTTTAAGCCTACAGCGACGTCGATCTATAAGAAAGACAATAAAGGAATAACGGAAAATCTCTGGCGGCTGCAGGTCCGTGCGCCCAAAGTATGGGACGTCGATATTCCTAACTTCTAACAGGAATATACCTGGAGCGTCTGGTCCTGCCTTCATCTATATAATATTACGAAGTCATAGAGGCTGAAGTACCGCATTCGAGCGAACAGACTTGATGTTCTATGATGCGGAATTGATGGAAACTCACAAGGAATCGTCGGGGGTGTGGGAATGGTACTTGACACATTCCCCTAGATGTACGCAGACTGAATATGTGATGGTGTTGGAATGAAGTCGCTTCAACTCAGTTGACGATTTGTACATACCATTCATTGCTACCATTTTTAGCTGATTACTAAGCTTCATTCCTCCAAATCGGGCGGGCCGATTTCTATGTCGCCTGCTGCACTAGTGGCGCCAAAAAAGTCCCCGTTATCACGTAGGACAAATTATCAGGTGCCGATATAGCTATCCCCCTTGCAGGCTGTGTGACCACATGCATGCGATAGCTGACGTCATATCAGTCACTGGCTTCATACTAGTCTTTTTCATAGTATCTCTGCAAAAGCCCCTGCGAACACACAAATGGATGGGTTTCCGCACTATATTCATTGGCCACATGTTTGTTCTCCAATCCTTGACCTTATTCGCTGGCCACTTTTCTCTTTGGCGTTCACGCACTCTGCCATCTTGATTCTTCAACGTAGCTGACATTATTCCATCCCCCCTCTCAAGAATGTCCTCAGCACGCACCAAGGACGGTTGCTTTACATGTCGAGTTCGTAGGAAGGTGAGCGAGCCTTAAGTATCCGGGCCCATACATAATCTTCACTCCTCAATGATCGCAGGCCTGTAAAGAAAGCGATTCTGGGTCCCTTGTGAAGAATGCTTTAACCTTCGTCTCCAATGCCTGAAAAGTCATGGACAAGCTCGGCCCGCGTGGCTGACGGTGCGTACTATTGTCTCCACGGAGTGTTTTATTAACACAAGAGGTTATAGGAAAAGGATTATAGGAAGTGCATGGTCGTGAACGCGATCGCTCAATGGAACAGCGATCCAAGAAATAAGTTAGGCGATAAAATCCTCAACCTCAAGCAATTTGAATTCGCACCACCTCCCAGTTTCCACGACTCGGGTTCAGGTTCCCAGCATACTCGCTCGACAGTGAAACCCTTGGAGAATCCCCGCTCCCAAACGTTGGGAACTGGTTGGGGTGGTGAGGACCTCTCGAGGTACGGCACTGGCCCTCCCAACGGGGTAGCAGCCAGCTCCCAGGAATCCTCCATGGATACGCGGCAGTTAATAATCGGAAGCGACCGATACGTACAGCCCTTCATGGGTGCGTGGCGGATCGGACACGACCAACCGCCCGTCGCCGATCTAAGCTACATCCATCCGCCTTCTCACCCACCGTTTCAAGAATACGGGTCCATCCCTCCAGCGTACTCACTCGGTAATGATGCCCGGGAGTGGCATCCCTGCTTCCACTTCGGGGGGTAGGCAGGTGATCAACCTCTCTTTAATGGGAAGTGGCGAGGACCCCTTTATTCAACCTACTTCCCTTGTGGATTCTGCCTAGGAGCGATGGCGAACCACAGATTTTATGGAAGGGCCCCATATTTCCCAAGTCATGTCAAAACTCCTAGTTGTTGGAAATCGTACGTCTTTGTTGTGCTGTTGAAAAATTCATTTATGACATCCGATGTATATGTATGCGTAACGTGTCGTGTATGTACCATCAGCCCAATGGGTGGCGCCTAAATGTTGTAATTCGATGTCGCACTAAGGTACTTACACAGGGTGCTAGCTTGCAAAATTGCATTGGACATATTACTGCGGTACGACTCGAGTATATATGTAACATACGCGCGCATACTTGTAGCTTTCATCTTCAATTCTCGGAATTTACAGGGTACCATACACAGGGGCCGAACAGAGCCAGTGGCTAGCTTATGTGCGGGCGGGGCGCGTGTAGGCCCCGCAACCGCAGCCCCTGCTTCCACATTTCAATTCAATTTTCGCTGGCGCTTCTGCTGCTAAAATCGATGGGGGTTTAATTAGTCCCTTGAGAGTACGGAGAGTGGGCATCTGTTCATCGCGAAAATATTGACAATAACTGTTGGAGGAACGACCTCAACGTATGTATTTACATCGAGCGTTAACGCGTTCCAATTTAGAAGTCTACCGTCCGCCCGCCTCATCCCTGGTGCTTTCAACAATAACACTATCACTCTTTGAGCACCATCCAATGAAGTGCAAAATATTTGCACGGGCCAGAGGTCCTATCCAGTTTTCCTCTTCTGCACCGGGACGTGTGTTCGGACGCGTCGCTCTGCATCATGCTGGAGAATTCATTGCTGTTGTTGCCAAACAGCACGAGAAAGAGTGAGACTTTTAGAGTGCGGTAACTCGGTCAGTCTTTCAACGTAGGCACGCTACCAGCTTCTGCATCTAGATTCCAAGGAGTAACTAATCACTGCTCTTGCCGTATACGTATGCCAACACGTAAGGGAGTCTGACGGAACATGCTTCATTAAGTAATTGATTGCATTGTCGCCCAGTGCTGGAAGCACTTACGGGACGTCGGCAGTGTGTGGCGCGTGGAAATCATGCCCATGTACTTTTGAGAGGTGGTCCAGTTCGGGAACTAGTACGTGCTTAAAAAGACAGAATGTGATTTTAATTGCACCGGATGATGATGAGAATTGGGTCCATTGTCGTATGAGTGTTGTATCTGAAAGATGAAGGAGGGGGAATGAGATCTTGGACAAATGCCCCGCAAGTTCGGCCAACGAAAAATACAAGCTTTTATTTGTCGTGCACACTCGCACCGAGCGGTGAAATCAGTAAGAGTTGCCTTCCCCCATGCATGGTAGGGGGATTAACGACGCCGAAATGGTCCGCTTGTTCAGTTTCAAGTCATGCATGTACCGGAAACGGAGGTTGAATCAGTGCGAATCCACATCTGATAGCCATCTCCCCCTGCTTTATACGGTATGAATCAGGTGGAATGGCTGGCGTTACTCCATGCTGGGGCTGGAAGGGTAGTTTGACCAAACGAAACTGAATAGAACGAGCACTTATGGAGCGTCGGCGGTGCGTAGCGCGTCGGGATCATACATGAGCCCCGTGTACTTCTGAAAGAGGACCAGTTCGGGACCCAGTGCTCAGTTGGAACAAAAAGGAACTTCGAGGTAGAATGTGACTCTAATGAGAGCTGCATCCCTGAGTGTTCCGTAAACACCGTAGCTGCGGGTCATACTGGGGGAGGTTTACTGACCCCGATCCGATCCGCTAGGAAATCTTCATCCGTTTACTGGGAGATCCATCCATCCATAGGTACCGCTTTCTCGGATCGGTTCCCTTTGGTTTACATAATAGCTTTTAAATGGGTCGCTTTTTTGGCTTCAGTTTTTGAGGCTTTCCGTAATAGGAAGGTAGTACAACATTTAGTGCCCCAACCAAGTTCCCTAGCGTGACGCATGACTGGTTGTTACAGTAATCAGGTTGTATATTACGCAGGTCAAGGCGAAAATCGGGACATATACAATAGTATTGGGTTGATGCACGACATATATGGCACTGGACATACGCTCAGCTTGCCGTCAGTTTTTCCTTCCTAGCTCTCCTGTTTTTCACAACCCATTCAGGGGATTCAGCAATGAAATTCTCAACCGCGGCTATTCTCGTCATATTCGCAACAACGACCCCCGCTGCCTCTGTTCATATTGGGATGCTGAATCGTTCGGTGGTACCTAACTCGTACATTGTGTATGTCCCACACATAGGCATAACGGGGTACTGGCCGACTCATTATTTAGTGTGCTGAAATCCAACGCAAGTATGGACGATCATATCAAGGGTATCACTCGGATATCCGCCCGGAGCCCTGGGTCAGAATTTTCAATCGCTCACCGGCATGCAAGTAAGTTGATATTAGAGAATTTTCCACCGAAGAAATGCCAATTTCCGTAGACCTGAACAGCTACTCCGCAAACGCAACTGGAGCATCACTTAATGGCATTCTCAGTAGCCCCGAGGTTCTCTACGTTGAAGCTGATGCCGTGCATTCCATTGACGATGTCCTCCACGAAGTGAACGAAAGGGATGAAACAACGCGTGACGTTTTGGTGGAGCCCGAAGGATGTGCATCAGAGGAGCCATGCACAAACCCCATCCTTATTTTCGTGTTGAGTGGTGGAATGTTCCCTCAACACAACTGCTTCGGTGGACGTGCGAGGTGGGGTCCTGTGTGTATCTCTCTGCCCACTCTCTGTCATATATGTTTACTCATACCTGCTTCTGTGTGCAGTCCTATGTTGGTGCACCCCACGAGGACAAAACCGGTCATGGCACGGCAGTCGCTGGGATAGCAATAGCGAGCGAGTGCGGTGGAGCGACTTGCGCCAATGCTATTTCGGTCAAGATTGTCTCTGATGACGGAATCATATTGTCCAGCAACTTGGTCCGTGCCCTGGCGTATGTTTATGAGCAATTCAGATCTGGGAAACGTGTCATTGCTTTGACGCCCTTGACTGTCGTTTGGGATCAGGGAGTTAACGAGATCTTCAGAAGGGCCGTCGCTGGGGGGCTGCATGTTATAGCTGGGGCAGGCGATTCCTCGGAGGACGTAAAGTTGTTCAGTCCTACGGCTGTTGAGGGGGTTTTCACCATTGGTGCTATTGACGACCATAACATGTTCGCATCGTTCTCCAACCAGGGGTCTCTCATCAAAGCTTTTGGCCTGGGTGTCGATGTTGATACTCTTGGGGTCGGCAGCCCGAGTGCGGGCGCAAGGTGGAGTGGCACTGGCATGGCAGCTGCTTTAGCTGCGCGCGTGGTAGCCAGGGCTATATATCTTTATGGTAATGGCGATCTGTCCAATGATGAGATATATTATCTCATAGCGAGAAATGGCGAGAAAAAAGTTTGGGGCCAGCCACCGGGAACCACAACGTTGAAAGTAGTAGATTGGATGTCACCCCCACCTGACATTTCCTGATGTTGGAAATGGATGTTCTTGTACTCCAAAAAAACTTTACCAATAGATCAAAATTATTAAGATGTGGGCCATTTGTTAATCACTGCATTTAAGCCAACAATTTCTGCAGCCCTTTCTGCCACTAGAGTGCTTGCGCTTTGCCAGATTCTGCACTGCCCACTTGTTAATTCTGTTCTCATCAAATAACTATGTTGTTATGTTGCAAGCATCAATCATCTTTCTTGCAACAACATGGGAAAAACATTCAAGAAAATAAAATAAAAATAAAATGGATGCCATGGCAGCGAGTGAAGGTCATACATGGTGGCCTTCAGATATGATGGTACTGTTGAAATAACCACCTCAGCCTAACAGGGTGTATGGTGTAATGGCTGTGCACACTGAGTTCGCGATCCAGAGGACTGGAGTTTGATTCCCAGTATGTCTGTCATATCCCAGATCTTCCACCTCCCACCACCCTAGTCCTAGATGACTCCTATGACCTCCACCAGCCTTCCCAATCTCTCTCTGCTGCCTCCGGTCATTGCCAACGATCCTAGGACTACCTCCTCCTTTGACTCTCTCCCACTCTGCCTCCCATCTACATCTGCATCACCTCCAGACCTGTTATCAGCTGGCAGGTGTCTGAATGCGATATCGATCTGATAGTTAGATATTGTGTTCTGGCCAAGTCACGGACATTATATACATATTCAGGTGGCCAACCAAGATAAAAGAAATACAAAGTGGTGCACAACATGAGGTTAGAGAGATAATGATGTCCATCCTGCCACCAGTGCAGCATCAGCAAAAGTCCGTTATGCTCCAGAGCATCAAGAGTGGCTGGAGCATGTGGGAGACAAAACAGCAGATTGGGCACTCCTGGAGCCAATAGTGTTCTCCTGGGAGGGGGTTCAGGAGCAGCTGGGAGTGGTGAGGAGTATGTAATGTGCCAGGAGCAGTGGGAGAAAAATTTTGGTCTCTAAAAAGTTGAAAAAAAAAATTTAGGGAAAAATCAAAAAAAAAATTCAGGAACTATAGTGCCTTTAAAGTGCTTTCAGGACATATAATTATTTGCAAAATTGAGGAAGAAATGATGGAGAAAAATGGAAAATACTTTCGGAGACCCAAGAAATAATGAGAACTGAATTGATGGGAAAGTCTGAAAATTGAATAGGAAAGTGAGGGGAAGCCTTGTAAGCATTGTTATTTTCTGCTGTTCTGATTTTTCCTGATTGTTCTTGGTCTCACTCCCAGCTGCTCCTGGACCCTCCCAGGAGCTTTCAGGAGCTTCCAGGAGTATTGAGGAGCAGCTGGGAATGAGACCAAGAAGAATTGGGAAAAATCAGAACAGCAGAAAATAACAATGCTACAAGGCTTCCCCTCACTTTCCTATTCAATTTTCAGACTTTCCCATCAATTCAGTTCTTGGGTCTCCAAAAGTATTTTCCATTAGCTGCTCCTGGACCCTCCCAGGAGCTTCCAGGAGTATCCAGGAGTATCCAGTAGCAGCTGGGAGTGAGACCAAGAACAATCAGGAAAAATTAGAACAGCAGAAAATAACAATGCTACAAGGCTTCCCCTCACTTCCCTATTCAATTTTCAGACTTTCCCATCAATTCAGTTCTCATTATTTCTCGGGTCTCCAAAAGTATTTTCCATTTTTCTCCATCATTTCTTCCTCGATTTTGCAAATAATTATATATCCTGAAAGCACTTCAAAGGCACTACAGTTCCTGAATTTTTTTTGATTTTTCCCTAATTATTTTTTTCAACTTTTTAGAAGTCCCTATTTTTCAAATTTTCCTCATTTCCCTCTATATCCCCCCCTCATTCCCCCCTCATTCCCCCCCTCATTCCCCCCCTCATTCTCCCCCTCATTTCCCCCTCATTCCCCCCCCTCATTCTCCCCCATTTCCCCCTCCCCCATATTCTGCCAGCCCGAAAGTGATTAAGTTGCCAGATTAATCATATATCAGGCCATAAATTTTGATTGTGTATTGGTGAGTCTCAGTGTCCTTGATATAGTATAGTGTTTGATCTAAATGTGAAGCAGTGTCTTGTTGTGTTAGTCTTGTGGTAGGAGGTATTCATGGGGGATCTTCCCTCTTTTTTTCCTTTTCATTTTCAAATGCTCCAGGAGCTCCCAGAAGCTTCTCACCCCTATACACTTTGAAGCATTTAAATTGTATTTACTGGATATGTTTGTGCACAAAGCAATGCTCCAGGCCCTCCTGGGAGTGCCCTGGAGTACCTAGCCAACTCCGGAGGAAATGGGCTGTTCCTGGACCGGCCAATCTCCTCCTGATTCTCCCAGTGCTCTCGATACTCCAGAGCACTCAGGAGCATAACAATTTTTTGCTGATGAGGTAGTTGCAATATGTGTGACTTGGTGCACCACGTCGGCAATAAGGTGCCTAGTGGCCCATCCTTGTTGCTGTGCCATGTTGGGTTGCTACATCAACACTTCCCCTCAACCCAATGTCTGCTTGTTAGTCTAGTTCATGTACTCCATCCCTAGCATCAGGCAGAATCAATCATGCTTTACTCTAGCTAGTGACTTCGTAAGAACATCGGCAGCCATGTTGTTGGTTCCAATGAGCTTTTGAGGTTGATGATGCCATCAGTGACACATTCTCTAATAAAGTGATACCGGACATCGATATTTTTGGTTGCATTGTGATTGACAGGGTTCCGTGCAAGAAGGTCCACGGCTTGGTTATCAATGTGCAAGGTCATGGGCTTCGTTGTTCCTTCATGAAGTTCGTTGAGTAACCTTCTGAGCCATACTGCTTCTTTGGCTGCTTCAGCAGTGGCAACGTATTTTGCATGCATCAAAGATAATGCAACCATCATTTGCTGCTTTGACATCCAGGACACCACACCTCCTGAGAGGAGGAATGTGTATCTGGAGACTGATTTGTGATTCAGCATGTCATTGGCCCAATCCACATTGGTATACCCAATCAGGTCTCCTCCCCCTGGCTGTGTACATGATTCCTCGATTCAGGGTCCCCACAAGGTATCTCATGATGTGCTTGATCCCAGTGATGTGATCTTCACCAAATGTGGATGCAAACGAGGCCAATGCCCTTATGGATGTGCAGATGTCTGGTTGGGTCCCCAATGCGGTGTACATGAGTGACCCAATGGCTTTGAGGTAGGGGAATGAGGAAACTCTGGAGTGTTCTTCAGCCAATGCTGGCGTGAATCGTGCTCCAGCTGGTAGTGGGGTGGTGGTGGGCATACAGCCAGTCATTTTGTATCAAGCAAGTATATCCTTGATGTATTGCGCTTGGTCAATGGATAGAGTTCCTGTGGCTATGTCTTGCTGGACATGGATTCCAAGTATCCACGAGGCTTCTCCATAGCTTGAGACTTTGAAGTGGGAGGTGATTGCATTCTGGATGGAAGAGAACAGGTTCTGGTCATTTCCAGCTAGAAGTTTGTCATCTACATATATGGGGATCATGATTATTGAGGAGCCTTGTTTGAACACAAAGACAGAGTGGTCAGCATGGGTCCGGTGAAAACCAAGGTGGATCAGGTAATCATGTAGTGTTGTGTACCACTCCTGTCCTGCTTGCTTCAATCTGTAAAGGCCCTTCTTCAGCTTGGCTACCATGTGTTCCTTCCCCTTTTCCTCATATCTGTCAGGGACAGCTCTGAAAGCGGCAAGGTCCCGGTGCGAGGGACTTGATGGGACAGGTGTTGGCTATGCATAGTGGCAGTCCCGTCATGGGGTGAGCATCCCTGACCACTTAGTCTGAAGTGGGAAGTTGAGAAGGCTGCTTCTTCTGTTCCCACCCCAGGCACTATTATATACATGCGGTTGGGGTCATGTGGGGGGAGCCATGTCATCCCCGCACACAGCTGCACCTCCCTGGGTATCTCCATGGGAGATTGTCAGGGACTGCATGTCAGTTCACAATGAAGAGGGTGTTCCCGAGAATCCTAGTCGTTGTTAACGCTGGGGTGCCACCCTCAGTGGAGATAGGGGTTATATACATGGGTACCGCTACCCACTAGAGTGCAGCTACAATGAGATAAGAAATAACCGATAGAATGATGACATGAAAAGATAGATATTCATTCGGATAATTGTAAGCGAGGTGTGGGAAAGGGGTGACATGTGGATGGAAGATAGAAGCAGGATGCTAAGCGAGAGCTAAGCAAAATTACCTGCATTCTTCAGATCACTCCGGATCGTCTTACAGCAACTCCCTTCCGGCATAGGGAGTCAGGGTAGCCAGTTAGGCCATGCCCTGACAGAGATCCCAGAGGTGTGCCGCTCTGTAGGCAGGAATGTGCATGGCAGGGGCAGCGATTGGGGGAGCAGGGTTAGGTGTGTAATGATACATAGAGAAGGGGAAGTCGACCGTGGAATAGAAATAGAGAGAAAGAAGAAAAGGGGAAAGGAGGAATGGGGAGTGATAGCAGGGGAAGCGGAGTAGGGTGGGGCGGTGGTGCAGTGGCACGGGGTCAGGTGGGGTGTGCCCTGACAGAATGGGACTTCTCTCCACCAGCTAAACTACCCACTTTGCATACTTTGGCGTCCAGCCTCCCGAACTCAAATATACTCCCAACACCCAGAATAGCCATTGTGATCCATTTGTGCTCTGCCACAGCGAACTCATCAAGTTCCAGATGCTTGATGAACTGGCTGAGGTTGGGATGAACTTGGTCCAGATCAATTCGCATGAAGAGCAAGCCGATGACATGGAGGAAGAGTGCTGTAGTGGGCAAAGTAGGAGATGATAGGTTTTGTTGCATTGAAGGCAAGAAGAACTCGAGCATGGTGTCATGGCCCATATCAAATGGATGGTTAGCAATCAAGCTGAAACCCAGTTTTGTCAATCCTCATATCCTTGAACAAAACACATCAGGATAACGAAACCCACCTCTTCATGAAATGGTACACTGTCCTAAGGTCATGTCAGGGACCAGCAACGACCCTGGACCCTATGCCGGCTGTGCATATGCATGTGGGAAGTATGCTGGTAATTCCCATCAACTCTGCT